GGTGTTTCAGTGGTAGTGGGCACGGACTCTGTGGTAACATTTGTGACTCGGATTGTAGGCGACGTGATTTCAACTTCAAGGGCAAATGTTGTTTCAATTGTCTCGGTAGTAATAGAAATTGGGGTCGTTTCAGTTGTTGTCACCACAGGTGTTTCAGTGGTGGTGGGCAGGGCTTCTGTGGTGACATTTGTGATTTCAACTGTAGGCGAGGAAATTTCAACTTCAGCAGTAAATGTTGTTTCTGTTGTCTCGGTAGCAATAGAAGTTGCAGTCGTTTCAGTTGTTGTCGGCACCGGTGTTTCAGTGGTAGTGGGCACGGACTCTGTGGTAACATTTGTGACTCGGATTGTAGGCGACGTGATTTCAACTTCAAGGGCAAATGTTGTTTCAATTGTCTCGGTAGTAATAGAAATTGGGGTCGTTTCAGTTGTTGTCACCACAGGTGTTTCAGTGGTGGTGGGCAGTGCTTCTGTGGTGACATTTGTGTCTTCAACTGTAGGCGAGGAAATTTCAACTTCAGCAGTAAATGTTGTTTCAGTTGTCTCGGTAGTAATAGGGATTCGAGTCGTTTCAGTTGTTATCACCACGGGTGTTTCAGTGGTAGTGGGCACGGACTCTGTGGTGACATTTGTGACTTCGACTGTAGGCGACGTGATTTCAACTTCAACAACAAGTGTTGTTTCAGTTGTCTTTGTAGTAATAGAAATTGGAGTCGTTTCTGTTGTTGTCGCCACAGGTGTTTCTGTGGTAGTGGGCACGAACTCTGTGGTAACATTTGTGACTCGGACTGTAGGCGAAGTAATTTCAACTTGAACAAGAAATGTTGTTTCAGTTGTCTTTGTAGTTATAATAATTGGAGTCATTTCTGTTATTGTTATCGATGGTGTTTCGGTAGAGATGAATGGTGTTTTCGTAGTAATTTTGGTGACTTCAATCGTAGGAAACGTAAATTGTATCGTAATAGACGGGATGGTTTCCGTTATTATCTTTGTTACGGTTGGTACAGTTGTTGCTGTTACAGGAATTTCAACTGTTATAGTTTCAGTTGTGATATATTGTGTTTCCGTGGTAATATTTGTTACGTGAGTAGTAGGCAATGTAATTGTAGTAACAGTTGATGGAGGAACGGTTATTACAGTTGTTACAACGACAGGCGTTGTCTCTACTGTTACAATAGCAGATTTCGTTGTAGTACTTTCCGTAGTAATGTATGGGGTTGTAATATTTGTAATTTTAGTAATTGGTGTTGTAATTTCAATTAAAGCATGGTATGTCGTTTCAGTTTCAGTAGTGGGCGATCTTGTAATCATTTTTACTGTTGTGATAAGTATAGTTGTTGTTTCTATTGATGTTGTAGTTACATAAATTGCGGTGATACTTTCAGTCGCTGTTGGAACTATTTCTGTAGCAATACCTTTAGTTGTAATTGGTAAAATTTCTGTAGCTGTACTCTTCGTAGTAACTGGTAAAAGTATCCTGGTAGTGGTTTCAACCGCAGTAGTAGTATTCTCGGTGATAGAGCTCTCAGTAGTGAGCCGCACACTTTCCGTAGTAATGACTGTACTTTCAGTAGGAGTAATTTTAGTTGTAGGTAATTTCGTAGTTGTAACCTTTAATATCGTGGTAAATTCTGAAGTTATCATAGTTGTTTCAGTTGTACTTGCTGTCGTAAATACTGTTGTAATTGTTGTAATTGGTGCAGTTGTGATTTTATACCACGACAGAGAAGATGATGTTATAATTAGTAACTTCGTGGTCTCTTCGTACTCGTACCATTCCGGCTTTGCAGTTTCCTTCTCTTCTTCTTTTTCTTCTTCTTCTTTATATTCCTCTTCATATTCTAATTCATGATAAGTTTCGAACATACTAACAAGTTCAGTTACTGGCAATGTCTCTTCAGATGGTGTTGTAAGTACAAATGTCTCCATTGGCGTAGCCTACATAGATAGTTTCAAATCGTTACATAAACTAACTCTAGTACTTCGAGAACACACACAAAAAGCTTCATTACAAAAATATAAATACGATTGCCTGTCTAATGCCATCACATCGGATATTGGATGGCTTAGAAATAAAATAAAATTCATTTCCAACTTACTATTTCAGTTGTAGTGAATAATGTTATAACTTCTGATGCGGTCCGCAATGAAGGAAGTGTAAATATTCTGGTAGAAGAAAATAAATAAATCTCGGAAGTCTCGGGATAAGGCTCTGTGGTAAATTCTAACAAAGTTTCTGCAGTTAGTGGAATTTCCATAACGGATGAAACACTTTCAGTAGAAAACTCTGCAGTTATTGGTATTTTTCGTTCAGTTATTGTCGTCAATAATATTGGGACCGCTGAAATTAAGATCTCACTAATAAATTCCGCAGTTGCAGAAACTAAAAATTCATTTAGAATTTCAGAAGCACTCCTTTCGAAAGTTGTACAAACTTAAAAGATTTTATTACTAACATACCAGTAACTATTACAGTAGTAGATGCTCCGGGAACGAGTGTTGTAGTAACAGCAGCTTCTTCTACAGTTGTTTCCACAGTTGTAGGAGGCGAAGTTGTGACTGTAGTCGTGCG